AACATTAAAAAGTGTTTTAAAAAGAAAAAAAAGAAAATATTCAACCCCAAAGAAGGTAGAAAAATGGAAATGAACAAAATTTAAAAAAAAAAAAGGAAAATTCCATTTTCCCAAAGACTAAATAGTACAAACAGAATACCACTAGCAAGATGAAATATCAAACTAACAAAATCAATAATCACATTGAATATAAACAGCATAATGACAAGGTAGAGATTGTCAGGTTGAATAAAAAAAACAAGACTCAACTACTTCTGCCAATAAGAAACACATGTTAAATACTAAGACACAAATAGGTTAAAAGTTAAAAGGTAGAAATAAATACACACACTATGGTAATATTTAGCAAAAGACAGCTGGAGGAAGGATATAATAACCAATGATGTTTATGCAAAATAACAGAGCTTCAAAAGATATGAAGCAAAAATGAACAGAACTGCAAGGAAAAAGAAAAATCTACAATTATAGTCAGAGATTTCAATATCCTTCTCTCACACAGGCATGAAGTAAAAGTAATTATGGTGAGTAAAAGAAGCAGACAAAAAAGAATACATACTGTGTAATTCCATGTTTATAAAACTCTAGAAAATGCAAACTAATTTATAGTAACAGACAACATAGCAGTAGTTTGCTTAGGGACTGAAGGGGGTATGTGGAGGAACAGAGGGCTAGTAACAGAAGGGCACAGGAAGTACGCAAGATCTGTATAAAAGAAATGCCCAGAGGGGTGTCGGGGTAGCTCAGTCGGTTATGTATCCAACTCTTGGTTTCAGCTCAGATCATGATCTCACAGTTTCAGGAGTTCAAGTCCCGAGTCAGGCTCTGTGCTGGTAGCACAGAGCTTGCTTGGGGTTCTCTCTCTCCTATTTCTACTCACACTGCCTCTGTCTCTCTCAAATAAATAAATAAACATTCATTTTAATTTTATTTATTAATTTATTAATTAATTTTAATTTATTAATTTATTAATTAATTTTAATTAATTTTAAAAGAAAATAAATACCCAGAAATGGAATTGCCGGGTCAAAAAACAATCACAATTTTATAAAAAGAAGTTTTTTGCTTAGTTCTTTAGCAAAGAGAAACACAAACTGGAGCGTCTAGGTGGCTCAGTCAGTCAGGTGCCTGACTCTTGATCTCCGCTCAGGTCGTGATCTCATGAGTTCATCTCACTGAGCCCTGCGTTGGACTCTGTGCTGACAGCAAGAGCTGTCTCTTTCAAAATAAATAAAATTTGGCCAAAAAGAAAACCCTAAATTGGCAGTTGTACTGTTTATATAGCAAAGGGAACAATTTACTATTATTATTTAAAAAAAGAGAATAAAAATGAGCCAGTACTAAAACTCCAAGACGAGAGCACATCTTCAACCTCACATCCTAAATGCAAAGCTTCACACACCGCTAACATTTTTGCTGAAATACTGTAAATTCCTTGAGTAGTATAAAAGAAATCAAGTTGCCAAGAAGAGCTCCTCAATCATACCCCACCACCTCCAGAAATGACAATTTTTAAAAGAATTAACCTCAGGGCACCTGGGTGGCTCAATTGGTTAAGCGTTGGACTCGTTGGTTTGGCTCTGGTTCAACTCTCACAGTTTCATGGGTTTGAGCCCCATGCCAGGCTCTGTGCTGACAGTGCAAAGCCTGCTTGGGATTCTCTGCCTCTCTATCTCCCTCTCTGCCCCTTCCCCACTCACACTATCTCTGTCCCTCTCAAAATAAATAAACTTAAAAAACAAATAATTAAAAATGAAATAATTATCCTCTTCATCATCATCCTTAGGTAGTAATTCTTTATTATTATTATTTTTTTAATGTTTATTCATTTTTGAGAGAGACAGCACGGGCAGGGGAGAGTCAGAGAGAGAGAGAGGGAGACACAGAATCTGAAGCAGGCTCCAGGCTCTGAGCTAGCTGTCAGCACAGAGCTCGATGCAGGGCTCGAACCCACAAACCGTGAGATCATGACCTGAGCTGAAGTTGGATGCTTAACTGACTGAGCCACCCAGATGGCTCATCAGGTAGTAAATTCTTAATGCAAGTCCCTCTCTTAAACTATTGCAAAAGCCTCCCAACTAGTCTCCTGTCTCTATTCCCCAATTTCCCAGATTCGGTCGCCACAGATCCTCTTTTTTTTTAAACGTTTTATTTTTTGAGAGAGAGAGACAGAGTGCAGGCTGGAGAGGGGTAGAGAGAGAGGGAGACCCAGAATCAGAAGCAGGCTCCAGGCTCTGAGCTGTCAGCACAGAGTCCAATGCAGGGCTCGAATCAATCTCTAATAAATCTATCTGCTTTCTATACGTAAAACCCTAAGTGGCAGCTCATCATCACCTCCAATTGTGCATCCCAAACATAGATTCCAAAACCAAAAAATGATGAAATGAGGGAACAACAATAAAAACTCAGGGAGTCATTAATAAAGTTAATGTATTCAATTTAGAGGACTATTGTGAGAGTTTGCTTCCTGCTTTTTTGATGTTAAAATATCCTTTGACTTATGAAAGAATGGTGAGGACATCACAGTGCTTAAGAAACATCTCCACTTAAGAGCTACAGAGAAAGACAAATGCTGTATCATTTCACTCCTATGTGGAATTTAAGAAGCAAAACAGATGAACACAGGAAAGGAAAGGAAAAAAGGGAAGTGAGCAAACCATAAGAGACTTAACTATACAGATTTGAGGGTTGATGGAAGGCAGGTGGGTGGGGGGATGGACTAGATGGATGGTGGGTATTGAAGAGGGCACTTGTGATGAGCACTAAGTATTACATGTAAGTGATTAATCATTAAGTTCTACTCCTGAAACCAATATAACACTATATGTTACCTAATTAGAATTTAAATAAACACTTGAAACAAACAAAAGAAGCATCTCCACTCAGCAAATTAAAAAGTTGGCAAATCTTTAACAGCTGAACTTTATTTTTAATTGTAAGGGCCCACAAAAAGAAACACACCAAGAGGTGTAGATAAAGTCCTTAAGACTCTCCCCTATCTAACTCATCTCTTATTCCCCAGATTTTTTCCTCCAGCAACATAGGACTGCAGCAGTGTCCTGTCCGAAACCCATGCACGCTTTCCCTTTTTTACTCATGTTTCCTCAGGAATGGAATGATCTCCATAACAACTCCTTTTCTTCATTCATTCAATTTATTTAGTACCTACAATCTTAAGCACTAGGGATAAAGTAGTGGACAAAAGAGAAACATTACTGTCTTCATGGAGCTCACAGTCTAGTGGAGGAAAAAGATATCAAATAAATAAATATAGAATTAAAAACTATGATAATACTGTTTTACAGAGAATGGAATGAAGGAGAATGAAATGGCAGGAAAGCTAGTCAATAAGCTACTATAGTTAAGGTAAGAAATAACTGATTTGGACAAGGGACGGGGCAAGAAGTCAAATCTTGAGCTGACTGTACTTGCCGACATACTTAACAAGGGGGCTAAAAGAAATACTTCATGACTCCAATATAAGTAACTATATAGACTTGCACTAACAGTCCCAATTTTTTATGCCTCCCTGGCTTTGCTATGAGCTTGCTAAACTGACTGTAAGGCTTGACAATATGACTTGCTTTGACCAATGGGACAACAGCAAACTTACTTCTGGCAGCTTAAAAAAGTGCCTGTGCACTGCTAGTTTTCTCTTGGATTAAAAAGCCTACTAAAGAATGAGAGACCACATGGGGAAGAACTAAGCAGAAACCATCTGAAATAATCTTATACCAATCTGTAGCCAGAGAACCCCCAAACATATGCTCAGCCAAGAGCAGAGCAACAAACAGACCCATAAGTGAACAAAAATATAGGAATAAGCCCAAACCATGACTAGAAGAACCACCTACCTGACTTGTAAACGTGTGAGCAATAACTGCTTACTTCTTTGAGCCACTGAGTTTTGGGTGGCCTTTTAATGCATAAATTAAACATAATGGTACCATTTACTGACATAGGGTGGGAAAAGGAGAGGAAGAGAATGAAAAGAAAAACCAAGCTCATTTTATCTTACCTGAGTCAACTCTTACCTATTCTTAAAAACTCATGTTAGATATCAATCCTCCAGGAAGCTTTTCCAGATCTCCAGGCTGGTTTGGAAAGATTCTTAAGTACTAACATTGTGTTCTGTACATAACCAGATCACTGCCTTATCGGATCGTTTTAAAATTATGTTTACAGTTTTCTTCCCAAATACACGACTGCATTTTATGTTACAGACTGTACCTAATTTATCTTGATTATCACCAGGTAACATAAAACAGGCTCTTGATAGAAGTTTCCAAATTTTATAAATCAATTAATAAACACTTATCTGATAAGATTTATTAATTCTAGATCAGTATTTCTGAAAGTGTGATCCACTCACAACATGCATCAGAATCACTAGAGGTGTTAAAAATGCAAATCTCTGGGCTCTTTATCTTTAACGAAAATACCATTCATAACCTTGTAAGAACAAGGATGAATATTATGGCCAGCCTCAGATACACAAACAAATATAAGTGTAGGTACTAAATCAACGTTTCCTCAAAATTTCCTAGAGATATTCTCTAAGATAGCGTCTTTAGTCTGACAGCACCTATGGAACTGAAAATGCTCTGAACTGCAATGGAGTTTCTAAGAAATTGATCTCTGCCGTCGGGAGGTGGGGGGGGGTCCTCTAAGATGTTACTTCTCAAGGCACACGGTTCCCGAGGATGCTCGAGAGCGAAAGCGGGGCCCAGGCCAGGGACGGACAAGCGGCCAGAGCCCAGCCAGCAGCTGCGTGACGGACCCTGGAACTCGGGCCGAACCCGGCGAAGGAGACTCCCACTGGGTTCCGGGATGGGCTTCCCTCTCCAGAGGCGGCCACCCCCGGTCCACCCTAGCCCGACGGGACATGCGGAAGGCCCCGGTCGCTTTGCTTGCCCAAGTCAGAAAGGAGGAAAATGAGGAAAGGGTCCGACGGCTGGCAACCGAAAGGGGGAAGAGTCTGGGGGGTCGTCGCCGCTTCCCACCTGCGTCAAGCTCCAGCTGGTAACAGGGCAGCGGCTCGAGGGAGAGCTTGTAACCCTCGAAGCGAGGATCCAACAGAGGTCTCTTCACACGCAGAGAGCAATTAGCAGCCACCTCCATAGCCTTCCTAGGTCGCAGCGTGAAAATTAATAAAGCTCTTGTTGAAAGGTCCGCGCTTCGCTCGTAGCACCGAGGCTGGCAGGCGGCGTGGTTCCCATCCCAAGAAACACTGCGGTGCGGGATGCCTTCTGGGAAATGTAGTGTCCATGCGAAAGTGGACTCTGTTGCATGCCGGGCTATGTAGTCTTTAGGAGACTTAGCGCTCGCGCGACTGCAGGGTATGGACTTTCTTACCCAGAGGGCTGAGCTACCAGGAGGCGGCCCGCGCTGGTTAAATTCTCACATTTATAGGCAGGGTGGCGAGACCCCGCCCCGGAAATGCGTGTTTTAGCTTTCTGTGTGCTTAGGTGCCCGAGCTACTGAGGGTCTAAGTCCGGGCAGCCGAAGAGTGTGGTAGGTAACGGTCGTCAGCGCAAGGGTCATTTCGTCGCTGGGAAGGGACGGCCCTCGCCCGCGGTGATGGTGGTGAGCTATGCCCGTGGTCCTCAGGGCCGGGACCCGGGCCCAGCCCAGGCTCCTTTCGATGTGCTGTCTTTCGTTAGCTTTCCCGACCCGCGCTCGCGGGCCTGTAGGGCTCTCCGACAGGGCGTGCAACCGGAGTTGGCCTGAAGCCAGTCCACGCTTTGTTTTCTGGCTCCTCCCCTCCCGCCTCTCCCGCTGTCTCCGCCCTATTCTATTTTCCCAAAGAATGTCTGAACTGGGAGGGATCCCCTAGCGCCCTTGTTTTACCAGTGAGAAAACTGAGGCCTTTAAGAATTGACTTGTCCAAGGTCACTATCCGTCTTTTAGGGGCCAAGGCGAGATCGAGTTGAATACTCTAGGAATGGTACCGACTAGACCTTAGAGTTATTTTGAAAATGTTAGCCTCCAACGACATAAGCAAACATTTCTAAGTCCTTTCTCAGCCCCTCCTTTTTCCTGTTCCACTCAAAAAAATTTTTTTTACCCAACTCAAAACTCATTGCCAGTCTGAGTTTTCACATAGGCGAAGATGGGGGACAGCAAAAGTAGTGCCAAGTTAGTGACAGATTATGCGCAGTAATGTTACCTTATTCCAAGTTTTTACATTCGAACCTACTTTCTACATCACTTTGGTTTGGGTTGTCTTTTTTTTTTCTTTTTTTCCTGAGAATTGAAAATTTTCTAGGCTGGGAATAAGTTCGAGATTTATTTTTCCCTTATCCCACCAGCAAGCTTTGATGAAGTGCATACACAAACGCATATTTGGAGGTAGTTTGAGAGTTGTAATTCTGGGCACATCCTAGTGAAAAGTAAAGCACTTAGAGCCTAGTCTGCAAACTTTATTTTTCACCAACAGTGCTTAATCTTTTATTGGTATTTAGGGTTTATGACTTCCCAGAAATCTGGAATGCAGTTCAAGTGCAGAAATTATTAGCAGTCACTTATGATGTACTGTTAAAGTGTTTTGGGGCTTCTCAGGTTAGAGTACCTGAGTTCAAATTCTGCCTTCGCAGCTTTCTATCTTGGTGCCTCAGTTTTCTCAATTGTAAAATACAAATTATGTTAATAATTCATACATAAAAGGATAAGTTTTGGGAATTAAATGAGGTTAAAAAAAACCAGTAATGGGCACATAAGTGTGTCATAAATGTTACAATAATTATTATTATCCAAAGACTCATTAATAAAGGGCATATGGGGGAAGAAAATCGTGAGTTAATCAGTATGAGAGTAATGACATTGTTAACACAATGTTGAAATTTATCACCCCTTCAGTTGATAGAATGTTATGTGTTGGGATGCTTACCTAGAGGATTTAGAAGAAAATGCTTTGTGGGTGTTCTGTATCTGAAAATACATGTTGATGTTCAGGTTAGCAAGATGAACAAAGATGCGCAGATGAGAGCAGCGATTAACCAAAAGTTGATAGAAACTGGAGAAAGAGAACGGTAAGCAATGGATTGTGTTAATAAATTACATTTAATATCTTTAAGTTATGGTTATATTAATGTAAGAATCTAATATCAAGGAGCAAACTGATGTCAATGGAAGGAATTACAGATAATTGAGATTATCAAAAGCTTCAATTCCTAACATCTATAAAAAAATAGGACCGTTCAGTATTGCATGACTCAAATGAAAAGGAGTTCTCTAAAAAGATGAACAAGAAATGACTTTCAAAGAATGTATAATCTAATGGAGAAGAAAATATACCCAGATTACTACAACTAAAAACCTCATGTTCCCTAGTTATTAACAGAGAGATAATATGATAGAACTAGTTTCAGTTACCATACTGTTACCCTCAGAGCAACATGTGCTGTTCCTACTCTAAAACATTCCTCTTCCCTGGTCTTTAATTCTAGCTCATCTTTCAGGTCTTAGTTTAAATATCATCTCTTATAGGAATCCCTTAAGTCTAAGATACCTTGTTCTATCCTAGCACTTAATCACATTGTATTATAACCACCTACTTTGCTTATTTGTGTCCTCCAATATAACCTAAGTTCCTTGACAGTAGAAATACCATTGTATCCCCAGCATTGTATGCCTAGCACGTAACTGGCCAAGTAAATATTTGAAGAATGAACAGGTGTAGAAGTACTAAGCAGAGGCTTGGGAATAAAGAAAGGCTTACAGAAGTAGGGTAAAAAAAAAAAAGAGAGATTTAAGGAATAGGAGGGATCTTTCAACTTTGCTTGGGGTTAACATAATCAGTTACAAAAGAGGTATTTCAGCTCAGGCAGAAAGATTAGCAGTTCTTCCAGCCAATAAAGCAGAGAAGACATTCAAGGCAAAATGGAACAGAATGTGCAAAGTCACAGATTTGTTACAACATGATAACGTTCCGAGGAACTGCAAAATTAAAGCTAGCAGGTAAAGTATGAAAGTGATGTTGCTGGAACAGTAGACAGGAGGAGTGGATTTGGTGTAAGTCAGAATTCTTTCATTTGTAAATAATAGAAACTGAACTCAAAAACTTGCTTAATCAGTGGAAATATATAAGCTTATCTAATTAAAAAGTCAAGAGCTTGAAGTTGCTTCAGGCTCCGCTAGGTCCAAGCACTCAAAACTTGTTACCAAGAATATGTTTTTCTTTTTCTTTCTCAGCTCTGTTTTCCTCTGTGTTGGCTTTATTCTTAAGCAGACTACCCACAAGGTGGCAGAGATCAGCAGTTCAGAATTCACATCCCTCTGGCTCAGACTACCTTTCTCCTAGTAGTTCCAGCAAAGTACCTGGCTTGATTACCATCTTACTTAGGTACATAGGCCAGTTATGATCAGCCTTGCCTGGGTCTCATTTCCATTGCTGGAACCCTGCACAGATTTATTACACTGAGAACGGTGTCAAAGAAAGGGCAGGAAAACGGGTGATGGGTTTGCAAAAACATCTGACTTTATCCTTGGGTGGGGGGAGAAATTAAAAAATACCTAGGAGGGGGGTGTGTGTGACTACATCACATTTGCTCTTTAGGAATACTATTCTGGCAATGTGGAGGATAGACTTAAAGGGCTAGAGCTATATTACAGAAGAATGTATTAACAGGTTATATATCAGGTTAAAAACGAAAAAAAGCAAAAATGGAAAGGAGAACTTAAAATTTTTTAAAGTAAAATCAACAGCCCTCAAATATGAGAAATGAGGAAGAAGGCATCCAGAACAGTGCCTTGGGGAACTGAGAGGATAGTATTGAAAGTAATATATAAAGGGGATTATTTATTACTATTTATTTGTCTCTTCATTCATGCAGCTTAAAGTTACTGAGTTTCTACCACATGCTATTTCCTGTTAAGGTGCTGGAAATACAGTAGTGAACAAAATAAAAAGTCTGTCCTTTCATGGAGCTTACATTCTAATGGGAGGAGACAGACAATACGTCTGTTTTATGTAGATGGTATAGTTCTAGAGGAGAAATAAAACAGAATAATGGGGTGTGTATTTGAGACAATAAAAAAAAAAGAGGGCTTTACAGATAAGAAATCAGAAGGATATGAGTGAATGGGGGGAACTTCCAAGAGTCAAGGACCTGAGACAGAACCTTGCCTGGCATTTTGAGGAGCACGTGAAGTTCATCAGCCTGAGTGAATTGAGAGGAAGAAGAGATACCTGGGGAGGGGGAAGGTCATGGAGGGTTATTTAGGCTGACCTGGAATTTTAGTCTAATTAATTGGGAAGCACTGGGCTGTTTTGAGCAGAAGGAGAAGGAGAGTGGAGCAGGGGACGAGAAAGGGGCTTTGGTAGTGGTCCAGTCGAGAGAAGAAGCTGGTTTGGACTAGGGGAGTAATGGCAAAGATGGTTAAAAAAAAAAAAAAAAAAAAATTGGATTGTAGGTACGTATTTAAAACTGGAACCAGGAGGAATTGCTCCTATGGATTATATGTATAATGTTAAGTTGCTGAGTGAAGGATGCTGCCAGGTTTTCTAGCCTGAGGAACCAGGATGGACACTGGCATTCTGACAGACTAGGTTGAGGTGGGAGAGAAGAAGGAGTTGGGTGTTGACTCTGTTAAGATGGAAAGACCGGGAGCCTAAGTGGCTCAGTCAGTTAAACGTCCGACTTCAGCTCAGGTCATGATCTCATTGCTTAGCTCAGCAGGGTGAGCCCTGCTTTGGGCTCTGTGCTGACAGCTCAGGGCCTGGAGTCTGCTTTGGATTCTGTGTCTCTGTGTCTCTGCCCCTCCCCCACTGAAGCCTGTGTGCACACACTCTTAAGGATAAATAAACATTAAAAAAAAAAAGAAAAAGGAAGATGGGAAGACCTAATTTAATACCAAGATGGAAATGTCACTTAGTGGATGTCTAGGAATATTGAAAGAGAAATGGTTTGGTTTGGGACATGACATGTTGAAGCTGAGAAATGATTTAGATTAAAGATTGAAGATTTGTTAAGAATGGGTATAGCAAAAGGATAGGAAATATTTTATTATACACATGATGCAGTCAGTTGTAATAAACACCATTATTATTATTATTTTTTTACCAGTAGGGAAAAAGAAAATACTGCCAATTAAGTTATGACAGGCATACCAATTACTGAATTATTGGAATGTGGGGGCGAAAAACAGTCTTAGAATCAATGAAATACCATACTTAGTATATAATTTGGAAGGTTGTTGGGAAAAATTGAGGGGAAATTTTTTTGAGGTTAGAGAGGAATATGATGGGGAGCAAGAAAGCTAAAGGATAAGGATTTGTAGTCAGAGAATAGATATGAAGACTTTTGAGGTGCACCTGCTTCAAGTTCAACTAATACCATCTAGAAATTGTACTGGACTCACAGTATTCCTGTTGGTGGAGGGAAATAGAATGTGTATGAGAAGGCCAGACAGTAGTTTCTTGAGAAGTCCTTCTACCTCATCCACTTCATTTAACTACTAATGATGTAAATGAGGTCCAGAGTCTAAATGATTTCCATAAGATCAAAGAATTAGTAATAGAACCAAGATTAGGCCACAGTTAAAGCTTTTGTGCCTAGAAGGCAGGGAATTTTTAATTGAACATTTGAACTTTTGCCTCAAACATCCTATCTAAAATACTGTCCATTGTTGTAGTTTAATATGAAAATATTTCTTTCTCAACAGCCTCAAAGAGTTGCTGAGAGCTAAATTAATTGAATGTGGCTGGAAGGACCAGTTGAAGGCACACTGTAAAGGTAATCAGTTTCATTTACAAGATAAGCTAATTCCATTGTTCTTGTTGGTTTGGAGTTCACTAGAAATATTATAGGCAGTATTTTAAGATCTTTTGAGTGCTGAGCATAATTTTAAACATATGGAAAATTGAATGATTTCCTCCTTTTGTTTCCTTTTGGTAGATGTAATTCCTGAATCTTTAGAAATTTTCTTTGTATTTTTTGTAACTCAGTGACGCAAGATTTTCTCCAGCACTGAAGTATGGAATCCAACCATTTTCAGTGTCCCTACACAAAGTGAAACATTAGTTATTCCTGTGTTTTAACTTTATAACAAAGTGAACACTTTATGATTGGCAGACTTTATAGGAATTATATCTCTAGGCTTTAACAGTGTTATTTTTTGAAGAATTTACCTACAAAAGTCTTACATAATTACACTTACTTTTTAAACTGTGGTGTGGAGGCTTGTTACTTTACTGAGTATCAACAAGGATACCACTAGGTAGATTATATACGTGTCCTGAAGACGAGCCGTCTTTCCTGGCTCAGCTCTGGAATAATGGAATTCTGAATACTTTCAGTGAACTCCCATTATATTGTAATTGTTTCTACAATTAATGATATTAGAAACTATTTATATCATTAATCCTAAGAAGACAATGTTATGAATTAGTAAAAGGATAGACTTTGAGGTCGTACAGACCTTCACTGGAAGAGACTGCAGCTGGACTTCAGCTCATGTTTGGAGGAATTATTTAATCTTGAAGCCTCAGTTGGCTCTCCTGTGAAGTGGAAAGATGCCCAGCCCATTAGATTGTTGTGAATATTAAATGCTGCAAAACACCCAGCACATAGGGTTCCAGTAATGTTAACTCCTTTCCCTCTTCTTTAGACCCAGCCTAGAGACAAGAAATGAACAAATGAGTTGTTCTATACTTTAATTTGGGGATATGAAATTACAAGTTAGGCTCAAATAATAGCTTTTCCTCCCTCCACGCATTCAGAAGCTGCCATTATAGTGAAATAAGATCTGTCCAGTTCTAAGTTTCCAGCTTTTTACACATGTGAGATTTGACCTTGCAGTTCAGATTCATTCTTAGTGTTATACTTGTTAAGTTACAAGTTATTTAGCTTGTATAGGCTTTTAAGATTTTGATCTGGTGAATACTTAATGTGTTTAAGGTTGAACTAAATCTTCAATAGAAAAGAAAAAAAGAAGTGTCCTCTTTTTTTTTTTTTAAAGACCAGTCTGCACTCTAAAAACATGATCTTAACCCTTCCTCTATGAAAATCTTTCTTACAGATAATGATTTTAAATGATATGATTTGTTTTTTGCTTTTGCATAAGAGGTAATTAAAGAAAAAGGACTAGAACACGTTACTGTTGATGACTTGGTGGCTGAAATCACACCAAAAGGCAGAGGTAAGGAATACAAATTGTGCGGAAGGAAACGTGTGCTGAAGACATGACTTTTTACTTTCTCTCTTGCTGGTTCACCCTTTCCAAAATGTTTGGATACTTGAATTTTCCTCAGTGGGACAGATAATTGCCTACTTGCCTGTCTAGCATAGTCTTGAGTAATAAATAGAAGTATGAAATGTTTTTGCACTCTGAAACAGTATAGAAATGTAAGTTGATAATGGTTGGTAAGACAAATAGTTTTTAAAATACAGGATTTTGTAGGGTCGAGTATTACCTGAAGCTAGGATTCATAAATTTTATTAGATATGGCCCGATTTCAGTAATCCAAAGTTTCTCTAGCCCCAGAGTCAATGCTCTAATGTTTTTTTTTGTTTGTTTGTTTGTTTTTTAAGTAAGTAAAGTTCTGGGGCACCTGGGTGACTTTGTCAGTTGAGCATCCAACTCTTAATTTCAGCCCAGGTCATGGAGCTCAGCATGGAGCCTGCTTAGGATTCTCTCTCTCCCTCTCTCTCTCTGCTCCTCCCTCACTTACACGGTCTCTCTCAAAATAAATAAACATTTTGAAAAGAAAAGTAAAGTTCTGTCTGCTTAAGTGTCTAATTAAGAATTGGGCAGCTCCACAACTTCATATTAAAAGTAACCTATATTTAAAATTCACACTACAATCATCTTTATTTCCATTCAGAAGGCAAAGGAAGGAGAGGAAGTATATTAACATTGGTGTTAATGTAATATATACTAAGTTAGTTACATTGTTACCTCAGATATAGCTACATGATTTTCATTTATTTTGAAGAAAGGGTTTTTTTTGGTCATTTGATTCATTATCTGTTTTCTCACATAGAAATAGTAAAAAGAATTTAAGTGTGAAAAGTAAATGAGTTTGAAAATTATTGCTAGAGAATACTAATTCTCTGAACTATCTGCTGGGAAAGAGCTACAGAATCCCATCGTCCCTTCCAGCCATCTGTAGGCCTGTTTACGCTAAAAACCATGACTTTTCATCAAGCATGTCTCAGGGAAAAGAAAGACAAAACAAGAAACAGTATGTATTGCTCCCCCCACGAATTACATTTTAAAATAATTTTCTCCAGTTTCTTTTTCTCTTTTCCTTCTTTAATTTACGTTTAATCTATTAACATTTAGGAGCTGGTTATACAGGATGGAAATTTCCTTTGCTTCTCTCTTAACACTTGCATCTTGGACATTTCTGTCCTGTGTAGCTCCACTGCTAGAGCAAATACAGAACACAGAGGTCAAAATGAATCCTTTATGTTCTTTGTCGTCTTTTATAAAAAAGAGAAATATTTTCTTTTTTAAATTAAGATAAAGTAGAATTGACTTTTTCTTAGTGTGCAGTGCTATGAATTTTATACACATGTATGGATTCGTGTAAGTACCTCCAACCCCCATCCCTCAAGCTGTCCTTTTATGGTCACAGGGTATATCCCTAACTCCAGGGCAACCGCTCTAGTCTCCATCACATAATGTTTGTTCAAGTATGTTCAATGTACGTACTGATTACATTTCTAGTGATCATAATTATGTAGCCTTTATTTCTCACAGGCTTAAACAGTTTGTCAGGAAGAGTCTGTGCCTTATTTAACTTGCATACTTATTTGTGAAATTCACTATACAAATATTTAACTGTATCTGAAGCTTTTAGTTTCCTTTAGATACAAGCAAGTAGCATGAGAAGTTTTTGTTCATTTGCAATTGTCCTTATTTATTAGTAGCCACAAAAGGAAAAACAATAGTGTACATTTGTTTGTTGACATTTAATAGTAATGGAAATTTTAAAGAGTAGGGCTTTTTTGTTTTTCATTTTTAGTTTGATACTCTGAATAGATAATAGTCACATGGTTCAACATTGAAAAAGTAAAAATACCATAAATGTAACCCCTGTTGCAGTTTTTGCATCTTTTTGCTGAGTGAGTTTGTGCACTTCAATAAAGTCTTGCCAAGTTAGTGGCCCAAAAATGTGCAACCAATTTATATTCCCTACCAGCTACTGTAAGAGCGCCAGTTTTCCCTCAGTCTTGCCAGCACAGGGTATTACTGACCTTTGGTTTTTAGCCAACATGATTGGTAAAACATGCTATTTGAATGTGGTTTTAATTTACATTTCAGTTATGGGGTTAAACCCCTTCTATGTTCAAGAACTGTGTTTCTCCTTTTCTTTATCTCTCTTGCTCATTTTTCTATTAGTCTCATCTTTTTCTTATCAATTTGGAGAAATTCTATAGTAAAGAGATCAGCCCAATTCTGTAAGAGTGTTTTTCCGCTTTTTGTCTTTTGCCTTTGTTCATGGTGATTTTGACCAACTTACTGAATTGTCAGTGTTGCATTTAAAACAAATTTATCAACCTGCTGTACTTCTGTGTTGAAAAAAGGCCTTTTCCACTCCTAGTTTAAAGAATTGTCTCCTGTTTTTTCCTCATCAGTGTGCAGTGTATTTAGGTATTGGACAGTTCACTCAAATAATGAATTGCAAATATACTTTTTCAGGTATCTTTACCTATTTCTTTATTGAAGCATGTGGATTTTTCATGAAATTATTTTGTTAATCCAGAATAAAATATCAAATACCAAATTGACATATGTTAATTGGAATCTTCTTACTCTTACATTTTTATTTTTATGTTTCAGCCCTGGTACCTGACAGTGTAAAGAAGGAGCTCCTACAAAGAATAAGAACATTCCTTGCTCAGCATGCCAGCCTTTAAGATTGAATTAGATTGTGTCGTTTTGTGGTTTTATTTCTGAAAGTAAAACTTGCCATAAATTAGGAATCGATTTCCCAAAATAAAATCCTTTTTTGTATGATGGTAATGATGTATACATTGTATTGATTTTTTTCCCTAAATGTGTTATTTTAATAAATATCTCATGAATGAGTTTGAAGTTTCCTTGGATTTGCGAATAAAAGGGACTTTATTAATACTTCACCAGATTTGTTGAAAGAAAAAGTCAGCAAGTAATACACTTTAAATGTTAAGTATGTGCATATATCTGTTAACAAGTGAAGAGAAGTAAGCAGGCTCTTGTTTTCTGGATATGGTATATTCCTCTTTTGGATCTCTATGGTATTTTATAATACATGTCCCATCTTGTACTACAGATGTCTTATTTCTGATTTGTTATAAATGCTGAGGGTTGGGACTGGGTCTTAATCATCTTTATGTGCCTTCCTTATTCCTCAAAGAACTTACCATCCTTTTGGAAGAGAAAACACTTGCAAACTGGCTCCACACCATGCTCCTCTCACATACTCTACTCATCTGAACTTTGAGAGCAGAAACTCTAAATTGCATCCCCACATACTAAGGTCAAGAAAGAACTTACTGGGAAATAATCTCCACCTGTAGCTTTACTCTGACATCAAGATTGCCAAATCCAATGGACTCTTGTCTATTCTTATGTGACCTCTGCTGGAATGAGAATGTTGACCATCCTGCCACTTGGACCTTTCTTCCCACTCCTCACATTGTGTATTCCTACACTGGAAGTTCCTACTGTTTCTTGTGGATACCTTTTGCTGTATGGGACTTTAAAAAATGGCGTGTTTTAGTGCTCCCTCCTGGGCCCTCTGCTTGACTAATGATATACTTTTCCTGGGCAAATTCCAGGACACTTGGGTTGGACTATGGCTTCAAATATAAACTTGTTGATAAATGGTAAATTGTATCTCCAAACCAGACTTCAACCCAGCCTCCAGACCCGGGTACCCAACTGCTGTGGATCAGCTTTCTTGGATGTTCCATAAACACCTTAAACTGACCACACCTAAGACAGTGACTTCTTTTCCTCCAGTAACTGCCCTTAACTGTGTTCCTTATCTCTGAGTGGTACCTCCCAGACCTACAGATTACCAGAGCTTGTTAAAATACTAATTCAGAAGGTAAGAGGTATGGCACAAGATTTCTCCGTTCCAGACAGGCTCTCTCAGTCAAGGTTTATGCAGCTGAGGGAGGACACTTTGTAGCAAGGTTGTAAAATTGTCCACTTCCTGCCATCTGGACTGCCTTAGTGCAGACAGATTATTGCAGTAGGCTCCTGTTTCCGGTTTAGTTGTCCATGCCTCCTTACCCAATGATTCTTCCACACTGTTACCTAAGTGATCTTACAAAAGGTCAAGCCTCATCATTTTATTCTACTTGAAATTTCTCAGTGGCTTTTAGTTTCCAGAGTAAAATCCAAGCTTGACCATAGCACCTCGGTCTGACATTCATTTATTTCTAGTTTCTCTAAGAGTCCCCAAAAGTATCAAATTATTTCATCCCTCAATATTTTGAAAATCTATCAAGTGAGCCCTTTTACTTTCCTACTTGACCTTCAAAATTCAACTTGAGTTGTTGCAAAAACATTTTAATGTTCCTTTGGTTTAGATTCCCCACCCCCCTTTTTTTTTTTCTATAAGAAGCACTAGTGTGTAATTTCTCTTCACCACAGTGGTTCTTGAACTTTGCATATATCTTCTGGAGGGAAGGAAACATGATTTTTTGACTTTGCCTGATATTTGTGGATGGATGGACAAGGGAATGAACATGAGCACAAAATAAGAACAATACAATTGGATATAGTTGAGAAAAAATTTCATGTTAATATTTGGTTCACTGTTGGACAGATACAATTTTATCTTTCCAATGAATTTATATTCTAGATGTAGTCTGAACCAACTGGACTTAATTATGTAAAGTGACCTCTCTCATTCTCTCACACATAATCACAAAACCTACGCAAGAAGGTTTTTGTTTTGTTTCATCTTTTATAAAGCAATGATCTAAAGTAATGATACTTATATTCATTTCTCTCTTGCCCGTTATCAAAAAGGAAACAAGTGGTACATCAGAAGTATTAAAAACAATTCTTATTTTATAGTATTATGTATGAAAACAGACCAAAATTTCTCATAAAGATATTTAGTAGCTCAAAAGGAAAATGAAAATACTTTGAAATGGAACAACACCCAAAAGCTCAATTGAAAATATAGCAATTGAAAGTACTGAAGAGCATAGTTTTAAAATGATAGTGACAAAAACTTCCCTCTACTCCCACCACCTCTAGGTTTCTTCGACATCTCAGAAATGCCTTGTTTGCATCCAGCACCATTGATATCATTGAAATAAATTAACTTCTTGACTCACATCATTGGCTTATGTAAACTAGGAAACATTGTTTAAAGATCTTACACCCTTGCATTGCTAATGTCAGGAACTCAGTTGGAGATTACTGTTACAGGACTGCACTGGGTGAGTGAAATACTAATTAAGATTACTATAAGCTTCTCCTGGACAGGATTAAAGAAGACCCAATTAAATTATTTATGTAATCACTTTGCTTTAGCATTAAGAGTATCATTTGGTTGAGCAGTGCCAAGCTTGAGATGATGCTGGAGATTGGTAATTAGATAGGGGACTTTTCATAACTTGATAAAAGGCTCCGTCTAACTCAAGAGAATTGTGACAGCTGCTCGGTAGCTGATGTTGGAAATGATCCAGTGTGTGTGTATGTGTGTGTGTGGTGTGAATCCTTCTTGTAAATGGCTGTCTCATGTTACTCAGTGACTTCATAAAACCCTTCATATTGCCATTAAAAAACACACAAAAGTCATTGGATGAATTCACCAAGAAAATCAACAGGTGCAGTTAGGCAATTCAAGTTCTAGTTTCATCTCTGACACTGAATTCTCAGGTAAAACTGACTCTTCTGCCTCAGTTTCCTCATCTGCATTATAGGTCTAATAATATTATCCAGCAAGAATTAAAATAATTACAAAGCTGTTAGTACTATGAATAAAACAAACATAAAAGCAATATGGATTTGAGCTATTCCTAAGAAAAACTCTAGAAATCCGTAATTATTTACGATGTGTTTTCTGTATGTATATAGATATACGAATTACACCCTATGTGAAAAGTAGGTTTTATTTTTTTTAGGGATTTTTATATAATATTAGTTACCATGATAATACCTATAAAAATGAAGATAACAAACGTCTTGATTATAGTAGAATAAATTGCACTATAAAAGCAGTTAGCAGGGAGGGTTGAAATGCTCTCCAGTCAGTTTTACAAACCTCATTCTACTATTAACCCCTCTGTGACATAGACTGCATACCACTTATCATTTGATCCTAAGTGCCTAACAGAATAAACCCTTGATAAGCTCTTTTAAAGATATGAATAAATAAACGCAACAGAGAATGAAATTTGGCATGTGCCTATTTATTCAACTTCAGATTGTGCTGTTCTGTTTGTCAGCCACCAGAGGGCACTTGAAGCCCGTATTTGGGTTCCATCCGGGGCTCGCTCTCAACTCCAGTGTGTTCTCGACAGGCCTAATTTCAATTCGGGCCCGCCAGATTTTTCAAGATGAAAGTGTTATTGAATTAAAACTTAATGTGAGGACCTCAGAATGTGGTTCTGGTATAAATTAAAATGAAGCTACAGTGAGATACGTTGCCTTACTGGTATCATTTTCTGAAGTCAATCCAGTGTTTCAGGCAGCAAGTTGATTTAAATAGCATATGCCATGATGGAAATAGTTCTATTTCAGCTATTTTATCAAAAAAAGGACAATAAATTCTTAATAAAAAGTGAAGAAAATCACCAGTGTCTTACTACCCTGTCATCGTGCTCCTCTCTCATAGAGTCCTTTGATAAGGGAATAATACTCACATCTTCCTTTTTCATACTATGTTAGTGTTTAAAAACATAAAGTATAAATAGAACATTATATAGTGCAAAAACCCTACAGACACTCAATGAATGTTGGCTTATGATGACGGTGGTAAAGAATGCCAGATAATGAAGGCAGATAGATTCTGCACTCAGGGTGCAATGTCTCACAAAATAACGTTGAGAACAGGAATTGGTGCCAGTACGTAGGGCGTTCATAAATGCCCAGGCTTTGTGCCTGGAATCACCAGAACCGAGTGATAATCAATGGCTTTCAGTTACTGTAAACCTTCCTAATCCAAAATTATTTGTTGAGGGCACATCCTTAAGAATTTCTCCTTTCTAGGAAGCTACTTATATCCAAATTGGGCTTTGACAAAATAATGTCAAGTCCATTAAGCCCCAGCCCTTCCCATGTGCAGGTGATTTGGGTAGCGAAATACAGTGTGTAATTTGAGGAGCGTCCAGCTTGGATAATATAGCATGTGAGTGCACACTCTGGTTCTCTTCTTGGATCTATTAGTAATGTGCTTAGTGATTTCATTAGTCACTTGAAAAGTTCTACATGACAGTTGCCTGTCATGATTCCTTTCTGCTAGGGATGCTGAAAATATGAAAAAGCAGGAGAATCATGAGAGCTCCTCTTAGGAGGTGTAACATAAAGCCAAAATTAATAGTAAAGGACTTTGCCAAGTCCTTATGTATAATACATGCTGTACTTCTAGAAATGAGGCTCATGAAACAGTTTTGTGTATGGGATCTATCTCCCAGATTTTACCTCATGCATAAACACTTTCAGGAGACCTAGGTAGTGAAAATGCACAGATGTATCACTGATCAGCTGCCTTTCCTATGTTCCTGACCCAGTTCATTCACAATATGGAAACTTTGTAGAGACTTCCAGTTAACCAACTACCCCTTTATGATTATCCTCACTCCCCTCATGGTCTCATTCTCTCCTTTTACCCATTTACAGTTGATGGTTTATCATTAGAATTCCTTTACAATTACCCTTAACTTCTCTCATCCTTCCCCCCACCCCAATCACACATAGTCCTGCTTAAATGTAACTACCCTGAGAGCTTACTCCCTCCGTGCATCTTATCACCTGAACTTTGTGTTGAAGAAAATTTCACAACCTTCTGATAAGTACTATTCTAAAATAACAACCACACATTGTGAAGTTGGCTTGGGCTGGTCTAAAATGTTAATGTCATGAAAGAATTAAAGGCTATAAAAAAAAGAAAAGGGGAAAAAAGGAAAGAAATGAAGGTCAAGAACTGTTTTATGTTAAAAAGAGAATAAAGAGATATTTGCATTTATTATTTTTAAAAATTTTTTAAATTACATTTATTTATTTACTTAAGAGAGTGAGAAATCAGGGGAGGGCAGAGAGAGAGAGGGAGAGAGAGAATCCCAAGCAGGCTCCAAGCTGTTAGCACAGAGCCTGATGCAGGGCTCAAACTCACACACCGTGAAATCATGACCTGAGTTAAAACCAAAGGTTGGATGCTTAAACAACTGAGCCACCCAGATGCCCTTAGAGAGATATTTGTCTTTAAAGCAATGTGTCTGTCTCATTAAACAAAATTATAAAGAATATTATTAGAACACTTGGAAAATTTTAAACATGGGCTATAATATCAGTGTTTTAAATTTCCTGAATGTTACACTTGTACTTAGGAAGAATGACTGTTCCATGTTGAAGTATTTAGGGAAGAAGCGTTACATCATAAGTAACTTTCAAAGGGTTCAATAACAACAACAAAAGTATATATACCTAACATGGAGGGAATGATAGACAATGTTAATCTAAGGGAAGGGCATGCTTATCACAAACAGCTTTGAAATTTTTCAAAATAAAACTTTGAAAAGAAATAATGATCACAATTCTCAAATGAACACTTTTCACTGCCCCAGAATTCTCCTATACTTCCCTAGCATACACTTCCCACTGCCCCAAATGCCTTTTGCACACTCCTTTCCCACAGTAACAACACTATTTCCTGCTTTACCAACAAACAGCAGCAATTGGACAAAAACTCTTATCATCCCATCACCTAAACTGCCAGCCTTCCTGAATCTGAATCCAGTCTTGCC